GAGCCTTCAACCCTAAAGCCCGCAAATGCCCAAACACTGAAAGGACCTCTAAAGCAGTCCTCAAAGAACCCTAAACCCTAAACCCTAAACCCTAAACCCTAAACCCTAAACCCTAAACCCCAAAGAAAGCCTAAAATGGTGTGTCGGGTTCAGGGGGCTTAGGGTACTGGAATTACGAGGGCACTTGCTTTTCCCTTGAGCTTCAGGTCCTCGGCCATTGCAGGCGGTTTAGGGTTTAGGGTTTAGGGTTTAGGGTTTTAGGGTTTAATGTAGGGGCCGAAATAATTACCAATACGGCTGATGGACAAAATCCCCTGACATTATATACCTAAACTATGGGATTTATTGTACTATACTATATTTGGGTCATGCAGAATTTTGTCCATCAACAGTACTATTCTGGGGGTTTCCTATGATGGTTATAGTATAATGGGCCCCAAAAACCCTATTCTAATTGTTAAGCCCCCCTATATTAGGTACTTCAGTGCCGGCTGTCATGATCCTATGTTCTACCCTACTGCAACAGTTGAAATGCACATAGCAAGTGGCTGAGGCTTGTAAGCAGCACCACACAGAACATCATGATGTTCTTGGTTGGCCACGTATAGCCCTAAACCACCACTCAAGCCTTAAAACTCGAAACTTAAAAACGTATATACTCTAAACCCTAAACCGAGACACTAAGCCTTAACTCAATGAGCCTAAGTTTGAAGCGGAGGTGACCGGTTACTTCTTCCTTCTGCAGGCATATGCCTTGTATCTGGAGAGCCACCTTGGCCTGCAAGTGGGCAAAGCGAACTTGAGAAAGTTGTGACATGGTTTCAGGATATGAATGCGGATTTTCCCAAGGACCTTCCGGCTGTCTGCCGTCTTCTTTACTGTGTCTCTAAGGATGCACGTGAACAACAACGTAACAGTAAACCCATCAGAAAAACAGTTGACGCGTCGTTTGTGCTTTGGAAAGATCTCGTTTGGGCGATTAAACCCCAAGGCCTAAGTCCTCAGTGTGGCTGCTTTTTTTGAGAATGGTCTGTCTCCTCGTGCATAAGACCTCGCAATCCTTTTTGCTACTGGGCTCAAGTCTAGCGAGACCACGATCTGCAATCATCTTAGATAAGTCCGAAACCTTAAAACGTAAATCCTAGTCGCAAGACCGCGGGAACTCTCTCGAGATCCGCACGTGCTGTCTGAATTTCCCCCCCGTATATGATTACAAGATTTGGCTCCAAACAGTCGGGAGTCCAGCAGAACGAGCCGCCCTAATATAGAGCTTGAATATTGAATATAGTTGTTAATGATTAGTAGTCTTTCGAGTTCCCTATCACTGGCTATGGTATACCACACCCAAAGCCCTACTGAAAGTACTCAGGCCTTTGTACCTTTGTATGACACGCTAAACCCTAAAGCCCTGATAATCAAGCCCTCATTGTGAAACCCCTGGAAGCATCCCTATTCTAACATGCCTACCTCCCCCCCCCTAAACCCTAAACCCTAAACCAAAAAAAAATCGAGGCATCTTGGCAGGAACGGCCTTAGCCCTGGCTCTCCTCGAAACACTCCAGGCACTTCCGGGCTTGTCGGGCACCTTTTCCTAATTATTAAGTTCAGGGTTGTCTTTTGGGATCCTTTTTAATTTCCCTTACTAACCTTACTATTTTGTAGAGAACCGTAATAGTAAATAATTTTCAAAGGGCTTAAAGGACAACTTAGTAAGTTCAGGGTTTAGGGTAAAAGGCAAGTCGATCTGTTTATTACTGTAAGTTCAGGGTTTAGGGTCCAAGGTAAGTCGATTTGAGTGGATATGGGATCCTGAATATTTACCACCCTGTTCTGGTGCTTGTATCGTAGTAGTGGCATGTGCAGCTGGACATCTCACAGACCAGCCATGCAAGACGATGGGGAATCCCAGGTCCTAAATCCTAAACCCTTAAGGTTTAGGGTTTAGGGTTCAGGCTAAGGCAATCGTCACCAGTGAGGTTTCCTCCGGCAGATTTTGTCTTCGATGCACAACTCCGAAGAAACCCCATATGATTTGCGTCTAGGGTTATCTTGGGTTTAAGCTGTCATCAAAATTATAACCAGACTAGTCATAGTAACCATAATAATATCATTGTCAGAAACGCTGATGAAGATAGCATCAGCGCACGAAAGGGTAAATTAAGGACCCCAGCAAGGGCAAGAAGGTGCTGAGGGGAAACTGCCCTCCAGGCATCATCAGCACGAAACAAAACCAACCCAAAAACAGAAACCCTTGAGAAAAGTAGCTCATTTCCAATGAACCTTTATAAAGGACATTGCATCAGGAGGCGTAGTTTTCGGCCCACACCGGCGACCAGTATGTCGTTCGAACTCCAAGATCCACCATCGGTTAAGTGCCATTCTTCCCTACGTGCTAAATCCGACACCCTAAACCTTAGTAAAATAGTGTGCAGGGTTTAGGGTTTAGGGCATCCGAAACCGTGTGCGTTTGTTTCGTTACTGTGGTTTGGGGTTTGGGAATTCGGTTCATGAGATGTGGAGCTTTTCCCTACTTTCTGTAGGACCACTGTGTAGACACGAAGCTGGTTCAAGATACCCTGAGAGAAGCCCTAAACCATTTAGGCAAGTCCCTGGGGGTTTCC